ATCTATTTTTGAAATTTTAATAGACTGTTAACTAATAGGAAAAGGTTGGTTCCAATGCTTCTGGCCACCGAGATAGGGGAGAAAAGTTACCATATATACAGTTTGATTAGAAGTTGTTTAGACCGAGAAATCTGAACCTGCAATTGGTTTCTCGGTGAACTGTTCTATAATAGTCTTTCGCCGTAGTGAGAAATCAAGTGTGCAATATTAAGAATCTCATTATATAGTCGGATTCTTCGACTTTGAAAATCTTCGATCAAACTTTATACAACATCATTTATGTTGAAAAATAGTCTTTGTTAAACGCACAAATTCTCCATAATTTGATAATGGCTAACTTTCCAGTCTTAGTATGGACTATTATAATTAGGTAGAATGACCTGATGTAAATAAAGAGCGATTTGAGATGTCCTCAGAAAATAGCCGAACGGAAAACAGCTGACTCCATGCGATTCTAATGCTATAGAATCAGTTTTTCCTCCTTGCTACTAACATTGAACAAGTGTATCATCCTGTTATTATCGACAAGGAAAACTAAGAGAAAGTCGAAAACTATTAAGTTTTGGTTATAATGTTTCTAACCAATCAAAGAACTAGTATGGCTTTCAAAAAATAAAGATTATCACTCCTTCCTATCAAAAATACAAGTAACAAATAATACCTGTTTCAGTTGATCTGGATGCTTCGCCTTCAAATGAAAGATTTTTTGTTGTACTGCTTTCAAATACATCATCTGAAAACAGTGAACTCAATGTATAAATCGCTAAATTAAACTTCCTCGACTGATATCGTAGGATGTATTGTCGGAGTGATGAACGTTTTAGTTTTTTATAGTACTTCGGAGAGCCCATTTAATCTAATATTGATTCTACTAAAAATGAATTTTTCCGATTTTTATCTTGTGGAAACAAACACAATGGCATATCTTTTGAAAGAAAAACGATCAATGTTTATCATGTTCCTGAATATAGTTACATGCAAAAACAAAATATGTCACAAAACTTTTGTTGCGCTCGATATAATCGAAGAATTTTCTTTTATAGATGAGACATATTCGATTGGCTGCTGAAAAATGTAATGATCAAAACCTTTTAACAAATTTTGAAGAATTATCCAAAACGGTTTTAAAAAATAATCGTTTATCAACAACTGATTTACCAGAATTTCTTAGTGAACCAATCAAGTATAATCATTTTATTTTTGATATCTTATAAAATATCAATTTATTTTATTCTAGTCGTCGTGGTCCTGCTAGACCGGGTGGACAACAAAGCAATCGTGGTAATTTCCAACGAAATATTGGAGAATTTGTAAGTATTAAATAAAGAAACAAAAAAGAAATGTATGATTTTTGAAACTGTTTTATAGCGTAATCGTGGAGGACTTAATCAACAATCAAATAATTTCAGACAAGGAAATACAGGTGGATTTAATCGACCATTCGGAGGATTTAATAGAGATAATCGATTTGGAAATAACAATTTTCAAAGACAAGATTTTAATTTCGAACGACGGTATGTAACATCTAAACAATAATGAAGATTTATATAGACTTATAGAGTTCTTTTTCTATAAAGAAACTTTAACACTTTCATCTTGAATAGTATTGCTTCTATTGGATAATAGCCAAGTATAAATATATTCCGTACACATACATATTTTATTGCAAATGCAAAACTTCGAAAATAAATCTACGTTTATGAACAATATTCTTAGAATCTGTTAATATTCAATCGTGTTAAATGCAAATGAAAAATTCATAGATAACTACAGTTGATATTAATAGTTCTTAGCGAATCAGTTTTGAAGTTACTGAATCATGAACAAGGTTTTTCTTATTGATACAAGTTTGTTGTTTTTATATTACGACTATTGAGAGATTACGGAAGAATGAGCAAAATAAATCCTTCATTTATCATGATCAAAAGAATAAAACCCTGTCACACGACAGCCCTATAGTTTATCATCATACACTTAAAAGTGCCTCAAGCGAATAAGTAGAAAACCTCATCTAGCTACATGACTAATATCCTTATTAAAGAAAGAAAGAATCATGTTTTGGTTGTAAAATCTTTCCTAAGTTGCCTTCTATAAACTAATTCTATGACTTCTATAGGAAATATTGAAGATGATAATTTCCTTTGCAAATTTTGTTTTTATGCAATATTCTGTTTTTTTTTCATTTTTAGTCCACAAAACGCCTTTGGAGATGGTTATCAACGTAATAATGAGAATGATCGATTTCCAGCTCGTAATCGTAGCTCATCATTTAATGAATATTCTCGTCCAGAAGGTCGTAATCAACAACAATATCAATCATTTTCACGTTTAAGTCGTAATGATAGTGGATCATCATCAACACGACGTGTTGGAAATCCAAGTACAACTGAACCAAAACGAAATACTGAAGATGATCTTAATTTAAAACAAAAACGTCAATCAAGTGAAGATACTCAAACACAGGAACAAAGTCCATGGGATCGATCAACTCGTCATTGATCGAAAAACAATGTCTTTAGGCCATTTACACACATAGTACTCGTTCTGTCATATTTCTCGTTTTGTTCTTTTTTTGCGTTTGATATTTGTTACGAATAAGTTATGTGTGTTATTGATTGCATAAAAAAGAGAAAAAAAAAAGAAAATCACGTAACAATATATAAAAATATATTGTTCATAGAAAAAAAATAATTTCGTTTGTTTCTTCAGATTGAAAAAAAATGTCGACGGTAGATACCAGGTTTCCTGCTTTATTAGAGCAGTTTACCGGTGATTTGCAGAGTCCAAATGAAGATACACGTCGCCGAGCAACAGACGAGCTCTACGAACGTATAGTTGCTCAATATGCTGATGTAAGTGAGACATATATATCAATTGTAAAGAGATATGCATGAAATTTTTTGATTTAAAAACTGATATAAATAAGATATTTTATATAGAATTAGCTGATAATTGTTTTTTTGTTGTTGTTGAATTTAGATAGAATAATGTTAGATGATTGTAATCATACGAATAAAAACAAATTATCGATATATTAGAAATATTTTTGGGCATGAAACAAATTTTATGTTCGATTTGGAATTTTTCTTGTATTAGTAGAAAGTTAAAATATCCAATAAGAAGCGTTTTTCTTTCATTCACTTCAATGCCATCATTCAAATGTGAAGATGAAATTTTAATTCCTAGTAGACATTCGTATTGATTGACTTAGGAAAGATTCTTCTATGGCTAATAGATTATGAATGTTGTGTATTATAGACTTTAATAAGAAAAAAACTCATCTTAAATCTAATTAATTCTTATCGGTTTACTCATCAGTTTAGCATAAAATTTATTGAGGGTGTTATCATCGGAAAACAGTGACTAATATAGAATGAATAGAAATTTAATACGTGTTTTTTTATTATTTGTCTAGGCTCCATCTGATGTTGTTACAAGTATTGCTGAACAAGTACAAGATTTTGTTCGAAAAAAAATGAGTAATCCAAATGATGTCAATGAAAATCGCGCAGCCCTTCTTGTTATTCGTATGTTTCAATAATTTTATTTTTCTTCATTATATAATCTATCTATCTATTTATATGTTTATTTATTTAGTTTGTTTTATTTGTGTTGGACAAAATTTCTACACTGAATTAAGTAATAAATTAGAGCCAACATTACGCGGTTATAAACAAATGTCCGTCGATGCTAATTTATGTGAATTAGTTGTCAAATTAACATGTATTCTTGTCAAAGTAATTACATATTGACTGATTTATTTATTTAAATTCAATTCAATCTAGGGTTGTGGTCGAATGAGTATTGATCAGTTTTCTCATGATGTTCCTAAAGCAATTGAACGCATATCACGCGATGAAAAACATGAAACAAGACGTTATAGTGGTATAACAATTTTAAGAGAAATAGCTCTTGTTGCTCCATCACGTTATTATCATTTAATAACACCTGTTGAACAATTTTTCGAACAACTTTTCGCTACAATGACAGATCCAAAAGTATGTAGAAAAAAAAAAAGATTAATTTTATGAGTTCTTTTGTTTGTTTAATTTTTTTCAAGCAATATATTCGTGAAGCATTTGCTGAAACAATGCATGCAACACTTATTGTCCTTATTGATCGAGAACGTGAAGAACAAAAAAATAATAATAGTGAAATAACAACAGGAAAAGATTTAACAAGCAGTACTATAAGTCATGCTATTAGTACAGAATCCAATACGTTTATTAAAGCATATAATGTTTGTTTGAATTTTTTTTTTCGATGAAATTATTTAATATGTTAGATTTATTCTTTGTTTATCTAGATGGCTTATACAGAAGCAATGAGATGTTTAACAGTTGATACAATAAAAAATAAAAATGCACAAAGAGAAGATCGAATTCATGGAGGACTTTTATTACTTAATGAATTATTACGCGTATCAGATGTCAAATTTGAAGTAAGATTTTACTTTCTTTTTTAAGGAGAATTTATAGGTATTATATTTGTGAGTTCGTTTTTATTTTAGAATATTTGTCAAGATTTAATTCATCCATACAGTGCACCAAAACCAAAACCAATTTCATATAAAGTAAGAATAAGAAGTTTTTTGTTAGAAATCAAAAATCTTTTTCGAAAAAAAATAATTATGATATTGGTTGATAAAATGAATAATTGATAATGATGATGATGAATACAAATGAATATTTATTCCATAATAAAAAACAATAATTGTAAATGTTTAGATAAATTTATAATTAATGCCAATGAATACAAAACATTACTTTTCAATATAGCATACATATTTTCGGAAACATTGATATATAGTAATAAACTAATAAAATATCGTTTAAAGGGAAGTAATAAAAAAAAGCAATTCTTCAATATAAATACACTGGAAGATAGAGCAGGTATCGATTTCATTGCTGCAGCATTCATTACAAACATCACGTTTTTAATAATATAACTATTCAATTGGTTATAAAAACCCTTTCAAATAAATAATATTATCTGATGTGGTCAACTGTCAACAAAATTTTATTATATAAAATCGATGAATAGTCTTACGATCAATAGAAGTTTTGAATAAGTTGATATGATAGTAACAGGAACATAAATAAAAAAAAGACCGACTGGTAGAGCCTATCGAGTTGGAAATTTTTGAATTCAGTTGATAGAAAAATTTCAAATCCCAATCCAGCGAGTTCTACCATCTGATAACCATTGCTAGTTCTATCTTAGCATCCACTCTCAAGTGTTTTTGAATTAAATGCATAAAGACTCTACAGTAATCATAGTTCACTCAAGAGAGAAAAACGAATTTTGGTGTACTCCAATGAATTCTTCAGAATGTAAGCCAAAGTTCACAAGAATCTGAATTTTTTAATTTATAAAGTGATTATATTATATTAGTGATTTGGATTGCATCAAATCCAAATCTTAAATTTGATTAGATTTGAAATTGGCTCATTCATACTAACGATCGATCATCATGCATTTATCAGTTTCAATTTTGCATAAATTAAAAAAAATAAAAATAAGAAGTGCTTAATTTTTTTCTTCTTCTGATCAATCAAAACTTATGTTTATTGATGAACTGTTTCATTTTTATTTCAATTTCATTTCAAATAAAGTTCTATGTTAATAATTACAAACAAAAACTTTATTTCTTAGGATGTACATCGTGCTCGTGTTGCTTTAACATTTGAACGTACTGGTCCATTATCACCTATGGATATAATTGATAATCCTGAACAATCTCAAATTCAAGTACAATCATCTCTTATTCGTTCGATTATGCTCGAAAATTTTCTTGATATTTGTAATCAAGTATTTCAATATCGTCAACAACCAAAATCTATGATAGCTAATGTATTAATACGTATATTACCACGTTTAGCATCATTAAATTATAAATTATTTTCTCATCAACCATATGTTGATGCAACAATGAATTTTATATTTGAACGTATTAATTCACGTGAATTAAAAGAACGTCAATTAGCATTTCATGCATTAGGTTTAATGATATTAGCTGATAAAACAAGTCGAATAAATGATACAGATTTATTAATAACAACAACACCAATAACAAAAGATATGTCAAAAATATTAGATTGTTTAAAACAAACATTTGTACCAATATCATCAGCAAATACATCATTAACATCAACACATTCACATCGTCGTAATAATTCAACACAATTATCGAATTTATCATTACAACAACAACCATTATCAATGAATAATTTATTATCATGTCGATATACATCACCGGATTCAAGTGTATTTGCATGTATAACAATGATTGGTGAAGCTGGACCAGATGCATCGAAATGTTTAGATACATTATTGGAATATTTATTACATTGTGGTTTAAATCATTCATTATTATTTTGTTTAGATAAATTATGTTCAATGCCATTAATACATACAGATACAAAACGTAAAATTCATCAAGGTTTATTAGAAAATCTTCGTTTAATTTTATGTAATTCATTATCATATAATACAAATTTAACAAATGAACAAAATGATATTATTATAATTGCATTGCAAACATTAAGAATATTTGATTTTGAAGCACAAGCTATTGAACCATTTTTTATTGATATATTAAGTCAACGTTTTATTGAACATGATATTGTACGTATTAGAATTGAATCTATTATAACAATAACACATTTATTAAGAAAATTACTATCACCAACATCGCAAACAATATTATCATCAAATACAACATCATCCTTAATAGCAGCTAATAAATTACGTATTAAAATAGGTCATATAATACAACGAATATTAACAATTGGTGTTACAGATTTAGATCCTGATGTACGTTATAATGTTTTCTTAACATTACAAGATGATTTTAAACAATTTTTAGCTAAATCTGAAGCATTAGAATTATTATTTTTTTCTGTACATGATGAATGTCATGAAATAAGAGAATTAGCATTAAGTCTTATTGGACGTTTATCAAATATAAATCCAGCTTATGTTTTACCACCATTAAGACATTTATTATTACAATTATTAACTGAATTAGAAATTGGTTGTTCATTAAGTGGAAAAGAGCAAGCATCAAGATTATTAGGACAATTAATTGCAAATACACCAAGAATTGTTAGACCATATATGCAATCAATTACTCAAGTATGATTTTGAAAATTATTTATTTTGTCTAAAGTTTAATTTGAATAATGAAGTTTGTATTTAATGAAAAGTATAAGAATGATAAACTATGTATTTTTTATGATCCTGCGTTTTTAATTTGTAATATATTCAGATATAAGTAACGTAAAAATAATCTATTTTAATTACACGAAATTGAATAAAATTGTGATAGTTTATAGTTAATATGAAAACTAATGATAATTATCAACATAAATTCATGTTAAAAGAGATCGAATGTTTGAAACTTTAAAAAAAAACGTTAAACTATTTACTCCATATTTATTATATACGATGTGTTTGTTCTTTTTTTTATGAATTATTTTCTATGCGATGATATTACATACTGAAGCAATCAGTAGGGGTGCAACAAATCTAGAATGAGTTTAGGATTTTATTCGGATTTGTTTTTGAACCAAATCCACGCAAACAGTTTGCAATGGAATGATTGCTATCGAAATGCAAACTATTTTCATTACTTTTGTACAAGATCAAATTCAAATCCAAATCCTAATAATTGGGTTCTAAACTTCTCAATATTTATTTTATTGTGCTATGCATCTGATAAATTATTTCATTGTTGGTTGCACTTTATCTTACCAAATCCATTGAGATCAAATCAAAACCAAATAATACTAAATTCCCTAATGCTATAGGTTTACTGCACTCCTAAACCATTGATCAGCTAGCAAATGAGTTTTATTGGTATAATTAGCATTGAATAACTATGAAATTCTATATATAGATATTGTTACAGGAGAAATTAACACTAGCAGGTGTGGGTGAGAGTATGGGTCTACGCCTGAGTGTGAGTGAAGCAAACATTCAGACCCATGCTCCATAATTGTAACGTGTTCTTAAGGAATTTTTAATCGTCCTAGATTTTAATTTCTTCTGTAACATATATATGCGTTTGAGGATATGATTCTTTCTTATCTACATGTTTAATGGAGTTCATATTCTTGTAACTCATTGTAAAGATTAAGACATGGCGAAAAAAATTAAATCTTGAAGTTTGAATATTAATAAATTTTGCTGCTTTCAATTTTGTTTCAATTCTCAAGAATTGATTTTCACGATCATTGCAACATATTCAAAACGACTCATTATTTATCAGATTTAGACTTAACTGTACTCACAAACAAGTTATTGATGAGTCTCAACGATAAGATGAATAGATAGTTTCATCATTTACTCCTCATGTGATTCACAATGGACAAAAAAATGGCGGTAGTTTGATACTTGAACAGTCAGCAAATGAGTCATTTTTTATGAATTGACAAAGCTCCATGCGTGTTCTGTACTAATGTTTTAATGTTATTCAACTGTTTTCTTTTGTCTTTAATATACACATATATATAATCTATCTTTTGTACTGATTATGAAACATGCAAATTATATATATATATATATATGGATCATTCGATTTTGATTTTAACGAAATTTTTATGCTTTTCGATTGCTCTACTATCGGATGGATGAAATAAGGCAAGCATCTAGTAGTCAATTTTTCTTTCACATGTCCGAGACTCATATACTTTACTGAGAGAGATGAAAATAAAAAATCAATCAAATACATATTTTCGTTAATTCTAGGCTCTGTTACCATTAATAAAACAACATGAACAACATTCGAATGTTCTTATGGCTTTAGTACGAACAGTTGGTGAGCAAGCTCAAGTTTGTGGTATTGATTTAGATCAACGTGTACATGATCTATTTCCTATTCTAATAAATATGATGCAAGATACATCAAATTATCGTAAACGTGAAGTTGCTCTATGGACAATAGGTCAAATAGTTGAAAGTTGTTGTTATGTTATTGAACCATTACAAAAATATCCTATTTTACTTGATGTTCTTTTACAATTTTTAAAATCTCCTGAAGAAATTCCATTTCGTCGCGAAACTATACGTGTACTTGGATTTCTTGGTGCAATTGATCCCTATCATGTACGTTCAACAAATGATCCATTACGTTCATTATCATTTGATGTAAATGATATAACATCAACACATCGTGTACGTGCACAACCAGATCCAATTGAAATATCTTCAAATGAATTATTAGTTGCATCAGGTGCACAATCCTTACATGATTTTTATACATCAATGGCTATATATGTTTGTTTACGTGTATTAAAAGACCCTAATAGTCCACAATTACATTTAAAAGCAGTTCAAGCTATATCAATTATTCTTCAATGGCTAGGTAGTTCATGTACACAATATGTATCACTTGTATTACCACGTTTATTATCTGTTGTACGTAGTACAGATGATAGAAATTTAGTACCATATTTTCGACAAATAAATATAATAATAATATCAATAAAAGGTTCAATTATACAATATGTTAATGATGTTGTTCAATTAATTCGTGATTATTGGGATACACATACAGATTTACAAATTTTACTTATACAAACAATTGAATCATTAGCTGCTGCATTAGATAATGAATTTCGTCATTATATACATTTATTATTACCATTTGTTATGAAAACATTTCGTATTGATACAAATATATTAAATATAAATAGTTTAACAACAAATCAAAATCAAGATCGACAATTAATATTATCACAAATGTTTTCAACATTAAATAAATTTGGTAAAACATTAAAACCACATTTTAATGTTGTTTTACCATCAATATTAGATATAGCATCAACAAATACATATCCATTAAAATTACGACAAGAAGCATTAGATACAATTGAACAATTAGCTGATAAAGTTTTCTTAAGTGATTATGTATCAGCTATATTACAAATATTATTAAGAATTATTCGTAAAACATCACAATTACAAATGAAATGTTTAGATATAATATTAATTATAGCACAACAAATGGGTAAACATTTTCTTGTATTTAGTTCACTTGTATCAAAAACAATGGATGATACAAAATTACAACATTCAAAATATGAATTATATATATCTAAATTAAAAGATTCATCATTTGTTGATGTACAAACAGAAACAATATCAAATATAAGTCATTTATCAAATCAAACAACAAATGAACCAACAAGAAGAAATGATGATAAAGTTTTATATACAATACGAACTGAACAATTACGACAACATTGGTTACAAGCTATGCAAAGAAATGCGAAAGATTTACCAATGTGGTTAAATAAATTTCAACAACTTGTTTTAGAACAATCACCTGTCTATCCATTACGTGCAATGGGTACTTGTTTAGCACAAGTATCACCATCAATTCCTCGAGATTTATTTAATGCATCATTTATATCATGTTGGAGTGAATTAAATTCTCAAGATAGACAAAGTTTAACAAGTGTATTAACACATGTTTTATCTGTAAGTGATAAACCAGATGTTATACAAACAATATTAAATTTAGCTGAATTTCGTAATCATTGTGATTTAAAATTAAAATTAGAACGACAACAAAAAACTAATCGACGTAATGAAGATATAAATTTAAATGATACAAATGATGATATACATAATGATAAAGACAAAAATAAAAAAAAAGATATGAATTATGATAATGATGATGATATTGAACGTTCATTAATTAATATACATTTATTAAGTGAAAAAGCATTTATTGTTAGAGCTTATGCTAAAGCATTAAGATATAAAGAAGAAGAATTTCAACGACAACATGATACAGTATCAGTTAGTCAAGCATCAATTACATCTGATATTGTTGAATCATTAATTAGTATTAATCATGAATTACAACAATCAGAAGCAGCTTATGGTGCATTACAATATGCTAAAAATAATAATATTAAAATAAAAGGTCTTTGGTATGAAAAATTAAATCAATGGGAACGAGCATTAAGAAATTATGAATTTCTTAAAACAAATGATCCATCTAACATGGATATACATTTAGGACGTATGAGATGTATGCAAGCACTTGGTTCATGGTCTGAATTAAAAGATTTAGCATGTCAAATATGGGATATAACTGAACAAATTCGTGATGAACAACAAGTATCAATGTTACCATTTACGACAAGTTTAGTTGATAGAAATTCTTCATCAACATTATTAAATTACAATCAAGGTATTATTAATGGACGCGAATTAAAAAAAACTTTACAACAAAAAATTGCACCTATGGCAACACGTGCTGCATGGAGTCTTGGTGATATGGCTGATATGGAAAAATATTATATTCATATACCAGATACAAAATTTGAAGGAGCTTATTATCGTGCTGTTGATGCTATTAGAAATGATAATTATAGACAAGCACAAGATTCAATTGATTTAGCAAGAGAATTATTAGATGTTGAATTAACAACATTAGCTAATGAAAGTTATAATCGAGCTTATTCAGGTAATTATTTAGTTTTATTAATTTGATTTTTTGAATTTACAAAAATGATTTGATCCTTTGTGTTGCTAAATAACAGTTACAAGGGCATGTTGATAAGTCGAAAATGTTTGAAAAACTGTGACTTTCTTTCCATAGACAACCATTTAAATGCTTGCATAAATTATGCATATATTAAAAGCAACTCACAAGTTGAATTCATGAAAATCATACAAATGAGTACACTTGAATCAATCAACTGGAATAAAATAATAAAAGCTTTTCTGCTCAAGATAAAAGAATTCGTCGTGCCATTGAGGATATCTAAATTCACTTACTCATATAGATTCCTTTTTTCGCTTGTCTGTTAGTAACTTCGTTATTTCAACTGTGAATTTCATATCACGATTCGAATCATTTTGAATGTAACACTGAAGAATAAAAAAAACAAATAGCACGTATAATATATAATTAAAATTAGTTTTACAAATCACATATATTGTTTTCATTGTTGTGACAGATGACCGGATCTAATGAAATACTACTATCACTATCAAGATAATCAAGTATTTCATAAATACGAGAAAAAAAAAGTTCTACTAGGGTTAGAAAAAATTTTAAGTCCTTATAATCAATACTCAATCTGTCAGATCTAAGATTATTAGAAGCCAAAAGAAATCTCTTTATATATATATAAACTATTTTTCATTTATATTTAGCTATGATCCATGCTCAACTTTTATCTGAATTAGAAGAAGTATGGTATTATAAAATATTACCTGAACGACGTCAATCTATATGTGAAATTTGGCAAAAACGTATGCAAGGAAATCAACCAATCATTGATGATTACCATCGTTTATTATTAACACATTCACTTTGCTTACCAATGGCACAAGATCTTCAATCATGGATCAAATTAGCTAATCTATGTCGTAAATCAAATCGTTTAACAATGGCTGATTTTATATTCAAAGAATTGACACATACAGTTTTAACTAACGAAACAAATCTTAATCGCGATATATCAATTATAAGTCCAAATACATATCAATCTCAAGCATCACATCTTTATAATATTCAAGCAACAACAACACCAGCATTTTCATTACAATCTCAACAAACATATTATCATCCAACATTAATTGATCAACAATTAGTTAAATATGAAAAAGCTAAATATGATTGGCATTGTTTAGTTGCAACACGTGAACGTCTTTTACTTGAAAGACAAAATCGAAAAGTTTTAAGTAATGAAAATAATCCACAAAATGATCCTAGTCATAATACATCAACATTACCATCATCGTCATCATCAGCAAGTATATCATCGTCAACATCAAATATTGAAAATACAAATATTAAAATTGAACAAAATCGTCAAGAACAATTGAAATTAATTGATGATATGAAAGAAATGGTTATTAAAACATGTTTACCAGCATTAGATCATATAAGAAAACAAGCAGCAACAACAACTGGAAATGTACAACAACAAACTATGATGGCATCAAGTGGTGGTGCAACACCAGCTACATCAGGAACTACATTAGCTGGAACAGCTCAAAATGTTAATACAATGCCACAATTATCTGTAAGATTTTATTTAAACAGATTCGTTTTTTTTTTATTGATTACATATACAGAAAAATCTTCCTATATCAGGATCTTCTTATTTTGAGTACAAAGCGAGGAAAAAATAATATTATGATAAACAATCAGGAAATACATAGAAACATGAAATGAACTAGCCTAGTGTTCCGTATTAATACGATTTTTTGGAACAGGTCCCAAACTCGCTCCGGATAGCTATACCTGGTTTATTCTATACGAAAAATTATACTATTTAGTGTCTTACATATGCAGCAACAAAGAAAAAAAGAGATCAGTTCAAATTCCATAAAAAAGTCAATGATTTAGGATTCACTTGGTATCTTTCTTCTTCTAAAATTCAATTAATTTCGCTAAATATATGTTTGTCTTTCGCTGATGACGTTGAAATGAAACGCAGTGTTTACATATTCATCTTTTTGATAGTTCATTGTTCTCTCGATGTATTCAATAACTTCTTCATATAATTCGTCATCATCTGTAAATGAATTTTTATTAAAAGACGAATTCTTTTAAGAAAACAATATAGCTAACCTATATTGAGCAATATCATAAATTGCTCAATCAAGATCGAATTGATAATCACTTCTTTGCTCTCATATAAATTCTCAGTTTGAAAAAATAAACAAATCTTAAAGCATCCAGATCCCATTAATTGTCAGATCGAATCTGTGTATCCGATCCAGTTATAGGACACAAGACTAGCCATAGATATTTGAAAGAAAAGAAAAAGTTCACATTAGACAAGAACAAGAGTGCTTAGTATTACATCTCGTCATCTTTATGGTAATAACTAGTAATATGGAATCATGTCAACACGTGTTGATCTACCTCTAATCAACTAATTATTGGAAAGAAAATAAAAATAATCTTGCGCAGCTGAAAAACGAGTGCAACTGAATTCTCAAAGGTTTCGAAACAAAAACAAACTTTTTAATAATGAGCACCTCCGTAAAGAGTGAATACTTTTGACTGATCTCAATGGTGCCCATATTAGAGAGGTTAATTTGTATTCAAAAAGCATAATTTAAAAATTCGTTTTTTTTCAATTTTATTAGTCACTCTCTGTAGCAACTACAAATGCAACACCACCAATAAATTCTACAGCATTTTCTCTAATGACATCAACAAGTTTATCAACATCAACTCAAACAGTTAATCAACGTGAACAACGTCTTCGTCAATTAATATCAAAATGTTATTTACGATTAGGTACATGGCAACATGAATTATTTGGTATGACAGATGATATTATATTAGCTGAAATAATGAAAAATTATGAACATGCTTGGACATATGATGATTCAAATTATAAAGCATGGAATGCTTATGCTGTACTTAATTATGATGCTGTTAGTTATTTTAAACAACGTATACAAGATTTATCTCGTAATAGTCAACAACCACAGCAAACTCCGCCATCTCCATCAACACTTGCTGTTGATTCTCTAGCATCATCACCTCGACAGCAACAACAACAGCAACAACAACCGCAACAACAACAAATTCCACCACCTCCACCACCGTTACCACAGCAACAACAACAACAACAGCAACAAAATCTTGAGGTACCAAATGATGCTTATCGAGTGTTAACAGCAAAAATGATACATTGTACCATACCAGCTGTAAAAGGTTTATTTAAATCTATTGTACTTTCAAAAGCTAAACATTGTTTACAAAATACTCTTCGTTTATTAACACTTTGGTTTGAATATGGACAATATCGTGAAGTATATGAAGCAATTACTGAAGGTAATCGAACAGTACCTGTTGAAGTTTGGTTACATGTATTACCACAATTAATTGCACGTATCGATTCTCCAAGACCATTAGTTCATCAATTAATACGTCATTTACTTATTGATGTTGGTCGACAACATCCACAAGCATTAATTTATCCGTTAGTTGTTGCATCAAAATCCGTTGTTCGTGAACGTGAAGTTGCAGCTAATCGTGTATTGAATAATATGAGAGAACATAGTCATACACTTGTACAACAAGCATTAGTTGTAAGTGAAGAATTAATTCGAATATCTATATTATGGCATGAAAAGTGGCATGAAGGTTTAGAAGAAGCATCAAGACAATATTTTGGAGATAGAAGTATACCAGGTATATATGAAAATATTTTTTATCCTATTTTGTGAAATACAAAATTTTAAAGGCATGTTGAAGTATAGAGGTAATAAGTGTGAGCACCCGTTCTCATTGTAATGTATGAACTACTTCGTCATTGCATTTCTGGAGAAGAATGATGAAGAAATGTGTCCCAAAAAACTTAGACATAAAACAAAGCCTCTCTAATTAGCAACAGCAACTATTTCGTGTTTGACATTTTTATTTTGTAGAGACTTCCCTGACACCTTTTATTTTTGTATACATCTTTATTAAAAGAAATATATATGACAATTATATCATAACTAGACATTTATTTCATCTGAAATAGTAATAACTTTCATAGAATTTTCAAAAAAAAAATATTGATTGACAAGAAGAACAGTAAAATGGATTCTGTTGATTAAATTTTCCTTTTTAATGCACGGTAAATAAACATAGGATAGGAAATGAAAAAGAATAAAAATTTAAGAAAATATAAAGGAATACTTTATGAATAGAAAGATCAATATTTGATGAGTATAAATAAGTTATCATAGATATAATGTTTACAGAAAACAGAGGAGTAAGGTATATGTAAAAAAACATTAACATGTAGATAAATTGGTCGCAGTTTCAATGAGATCGAGATCAAAGCCTAAGCTAAAAACAACTAACCTTGCACATGTTTAATTAAGCATCCAACAGGAAGGACATTAACAACTGAATGAGTTTGCAGGAAAGCGGAAACTTATCGCAGATAAATTTTTTATCAAGACTGACACTTGAATTGAACCCTTTGTTTCACGAAAATTTGAACTAAAAACAACGTTGGCTCCACTTATATTTAAAAATCTTGAGTTTTCCAATAAAAAAAGGAAAAAAATTTCTACTAACTTGAATCGATCTCAAAACTTATCTTCACTAATCTGTAGAAGTATATACAAGAATCTCATTATATGACCGAACTTTTCTATAGAATTCTTTTTGTATTTGATTCTCTTAATTTTCAATAAAAACTATTCTATACTTTTTTTTTCTTTTTTATTAGGTATGATTGAAACATTAGAACCACTACATGCAACAATTGAACGTGGAAGTACTACTTTAAATGAACGTACATTTCTTGATTCATATAGTAATGATTTAACTCAAGCTCATGAATGTATTCGTCGTTTTCAACGAACAAAAGATCAACGTGAATTACATCAAGCATGGGATCTTTATCATCAAGTATTTAAACGTATTCATGCTCAATTACCAAATATAACATCTCTTGAATTAGATTATGTTTCGCCACGTAAGACAACTCTCTAAGGGATACGCCAAAATAAATGTCTTAATATTTCGGTCAACTTTTATTATCAAGTCCTAATCTTGTTTTAAAAATACTCACAATACAATATTTTACAAGATCAGAAAAATGTGCATAGGTTGAACAAAAAATGAGTCAATATAACTCAGCTTCATTTCAATTTCAAGAGAAATGAATAAAGTATCAGAATGTTATGTCAGAATTTGAATAGAGCTCTTTATTCGGTTATATAGTCTAAAACAAGAAAAATTTTATTCGGTTTTTGCTTAGTTTTAATAAAACAATGTTTGTATGAAAATACTTCATAAAAACGAACTTCAATATATATCATGACAAAGAGCGCACCTAGTTATACTCCTAAACATAGTCTGTTAGAGATCCGGACCTGGGTCTGGAAAAAAAACTTTTAAAAGTTGAGCATATCGGAGTCTCGCAGTATTATTTATCTCATTTTTCTGTTTAATATTTTCTAGCAAAACTTATGATGCGTTCTTGTAGAGAATTGTGTCGTGTGCTTTTATTTTAAAAAGACTAAGACTCAGAAATAAACGTTGACTGGAATGTTGAAAAAAATACTTAAACGAACATTTGTTCTGGGTGGCCGATCAATTCGTCGCATATAAACGAGAGGATACATTGATTAAATTAAGTGATGTAGTTTAGTATGTTATTTAATTAATCACGTAAATGTATGCTCTAATATGGAATTATTACATCTACATGATGAACAGAAGACGCACTTCGAAGAGACAAATAATTTAATTCTGAAAAACTTGCTTACAAAATTCTTATGTTAAAGTGCAAAAATTGCTACTAAATGAGACTCAATTTCTTTCAGGAGACGACTTCTGAAGAAATTTTCAGTTAAGAAAAACAAGAAGAAATAAAGGCAAAATTCGCTGCTACTTGGAGTGTACGACTCATTCAGTATTTTTTGCGACTATTTTCTGTGATTTGCAAAGCTGCTCGATCACTGGATGAAGTGGCTTTGAAAATTTTCGAAGTGAGTTTTAGATTTTCGGTGATGCGACCATTAAATAAAAATGATCGTACTAAATTCTGTAGCATTAGAGTGTTCTTAGGATATCATTATTTAGAGGTAGCACATCTAAATTTTAAAAAAACATTAAATCAAGACATAAATTTTTTGAAAATTTAAATTAAAAAACAAAATTTTTTTTCTAAATGAAAAATTAAACTCAAGTTAAGTTTTTTGCATTTAAAGTGGAGAAATTTTAGGAAAAGGTGACTCAAATCGATTTTGACTTTGTTGAAGATGTCACAAGTCAAATTTTTTTTTTCGTGTTTTCTAGAAATAAAAATAGGCCTTCCTCTATGAATTATGCTAATAAATTTGGATGTTTGAGCGTCTTTATTATATGAAAGATTGAAGTTCAGAAATCATGTATGATTTGTTCAGAAATTTTCATATTTATGAACATATGTTGAACTTATATAAATACTAGATTTTTCTCTTACTTCTCATGTATTACTGCTTAAGTCATGTATTTTCCAAATACCGATGACTAACACGGATTAAAACAATTTATTAGATTCAAAAAAAAAATTTTTAAATTTAAAGTTAATTAAAATTAAAATTTTTGCGCTCAAAAATTAAAATTTTTTAAAATTTTAAATCAGCCTAAATTGAAATTTAATTTAAATTTAGGTAAAATAAATTGTAAATTGACACCCCTATCATTTTTGTGAGAAAAACTATTATCAAGAAAGAGTCATTAAACTCTAATGGAAAACATTTTTAGGGTGATTAATTAAACAACATACTAAACTAAATCACTTAATTCAATCAATGTATCCTCCCGTTTATATGCGACGAAATGATCGCGACGAACTGATTGCGACGAATTGTACTAGTGCCTTTGTTCTGGTGCACTAGTTAGACAAAAAAACATTATATTTTAATTTATAGGTTTAGCAACACATTGCCGTGACTTAGAATTAGCTGTACCAGGTACTTATGAACCACATAAAGTACCAATAACAATTCGAAATGTTCAATCTCATATAACCGTTATAACATCAAAACAACGACCAAGAAAAATTAGTATAACAGGTTCAGATGGATATGAATATGTATTTTTACTTAAAGGACATGAAGATTTACGACAAGATGAACGTGTGATGCAATTATTTGGTTTAGTTAATGAATTTTTATCAGCTAATGATGAAACACGTCGTCGAAATTTTATTATTCAACGTTATCCAGTTATACCATTAGCACCCAATAATGGTTTACTTGGCTGGGTTGCTCAATGTGATACATTTCATGCATTAATAAAAGAACATCGTGAAAAAGCACGTATTATGCTTAATGCTGAACATCGTTATATGCAAGGAAAAGCTCCACATTATGATCAATTACCATTAATAAATAAAGTTGAAGTATTTGAATATGCATTAAATTTATTAGAAGGTGATGATTTAGCTAAAATTTTATGGCATAAAAGTTCAAGTGCAGAAATATGGTTAGATAGACGATCAAATTATACACGATCATTAGCAGTTATGTCTATGGTAAGAAAAATTTCTTTGTTTTTTCTTTTTCGTAAATTTCAAATTTTATAATTTTTTTTTGTTTTTTTTAGGTTGGTTATATATTAGGTTTAGGTGATCGTCATCCATCAAATTTAATGCTTGATCGTGCAAGTGGAAAAGTGGTTCATATCGATTTTGGTGATTGCTTTGAAGTAGCTATGACAAGAGAAAAATTTCCTGAAAAAATTCCATTTCGTTTAACACGTATGTTACGTAAAGCAATGGAAGTTACTGGAATTGATGGCACATTTCGTATGACATGTGAACATGTTATGGATGTATTAAGAAAAAATCGTGATAGTCTTATGGCTGTATTAGAAGCATTTGTTCATGATCCATTACTAAATTGGCGTTTATTAGAAAGCAATAATAATGAACAAAATATTGCTATATCAACAACAAGTAATCGTTCACCACAAACAGGTCAACAACAGCAACCACATTATCAACCACATTTATCAACTGTTAATGAAGAAGATAATGAACATGAAAGTACACTTGGTGGTGGAGCACAACAACAACAAAATGTTCAACATGTTGTTACACAACCTGGTAGAACAATACGAGCTGTAGAAATAATGAATCGTGTACGAGAAAAGTTAACTGGAAGTGATTTTCATCGTGATCAACCTGTTGATATTCCAACACAAGTTGAATTACTTATTAAGCAGGCAACCAGTCATGAAAATCTTTGCCAGTATGTTTTTTTCTTTTTTCCTTTTTCTTTTTCTTTTTTTCTTTTTATTAGTTTACTTAATTTGTTTTTTCATTTTCTTTTTTTAGATCTTATATCGGTTGGTGTCCATTTTGGTAAATAATAATATGTATTATTTTTCTTTTTCTTTCCAGTGAGCTATTGATGTTGTGTGCGATTTTATTTGTAAATATGTTTTTCTTTTGCTACACAAGAATAAAAAATCTTTCAATCGATTTATTTGATTTGAATTTATTATACTTTTGATCTATTTTTTTTATCAAGGCTATGTTATGTTTTTCTTTTGGGCGATTAAAAAAAAAGGCGATAATGAAAGAGTAGAGTGCTTTTTTTATATTTTGTATTTTTTATGAATGCATACAGACAAGCGAGACATTGGTGCACATACACAGTGTTTCTTTTCTTTTAGCGTTTATTTTGTCGAGTGTCAGTGATCGAATGAAGCAAAAGAAAAAAATAAATACTAATAGTCAATATGTACAAACGATTTGAGTGAACGATAATAAAAATCCTTAAGAACCACTTTTAAACAGTAAAATTGATAGTGGACCTTTTGTTAAATAAATAAATCCATTCATTTCATGTGTTACATATGAACTAAATTGTTTTCCGACAATACAATGCCAACATGATGAAAACGCTCTATCAGCTGATCGTTTAAGAAAACCAGCTAATTCGCGTTGACTACTCAAATCATATTTTCGAAATGCTGAACGAACTAATTCAATCATTTCTTGTTCATATGCAGCTGATAAATCAGTTGATTTTACTATTAAATCATTATTATCAGTATCACGTTGTATTCTTGGTTGACCATATGTATTATTATTATTTATACCAGATCGTGTTGCTGAATTATAAATTGATGATTGTGATCGATATAATTGATTTTGTTCATTAAGTAAATCATCATATGAATGTGCTCGACCATTTCCAACTGAATTATTTGAACGAAATATTTCATTGTCACCAGTATATGAACGATAAGATGTTGACTGATATTTATCGGCATTATAATCATTAGATGCTGTATTATAACTGCTTGTATATTTGCTTGTTGGTGTAACTGTATGTTTGGGAATTGATGTTAAAGGTGAAGCAGAATTTGAATATGTTGTATTAATACGTCTTGAAGGCATACTACCATCATTCATTGTCTGATAGGAATTATATTGGTTTTGATTTGAAGGTTGATCTTGATAATTTGTTGATCCTACTCCGAATGTTGATGTTCGAACAGGTGAAGATGATGAATAGGTAGATGTGTACATATCAGAATGAGACGGTTTGTTGCCTATTTCATATATATATATATGTTCTCCTTTTCTTTCTTCGTGTTCTTTTACTTCTTCTCTCTCTGCTTAATTTGCGTATAAAAAAAACAAGAGAAAAATGAAGCGTTTGTTGGCGTTGTCGATCGAACCCAATTGAGATTAAAAAATTTCAAATATTGGACATAAGTTTAATTGCATATTTTCAACCGATTTAACGCAGTTGTATATCTAATATAACCCGAGAATATTAGAATTACAATGATAATAAATATATGAACGAGACGAGAAAAAAGGAAGGTAATAGTGTCGGTAAAATGGTCTCTTTTTCTTTCTCGTCTTAGAGACAGTCAAGGAACCGAGACAACAAGGCGAAAAAGAGAATCTCCTTTTTTTTCTCATTCTGTTTGTCGGTTGACAGTTGAAGAAGAAGAAGAAGAAGAAGAAGAAGAAGAAGACGAGAAAAAAAAGAAATCGCCAAAAATAAAAAAAAAATTTTTACAAAGACGGATTGAGACGTATAGGACCTTGCCTTATTCAATTTATGAATATACGATACACATATAAAAGTTGAATATAATATGCATGCTTGCTTGCACTTACACTTGAGTATGTGCTTGATTAATACAAAATCTTTGGTCTGTTTTGTACAAAAACAACCCTCTTATGCATTTGAATTAAAACAAAATACTAAAACAGAACAAAAGCTCGATGGGGTATGGATGTTATTTTACTACTCGATGTACAGGTCTACCTTTCACATCTGTTTAACCGTAATGGCAATTACCTGGATATGTTTATTGTATATATGCACGAGAACAAGGCTAGTAAAAAGAATAGAAAAGAGTATCTTAATCATTATTAGTGAGTCCTACAAACATATGTTGCTCCACTGGTAACCATATGCACATGATGTATAATTGTTATATATCAAGGATATATCATCTTCTATTATCAATGTTGACCAAATGATTCTCTGAAATTGAAATATATTATGTATTGATACAAAATATGATAAATTTTATTCAAATTTCATTCGTCTTTCAATTCTCTATTGAAATCTGTCGTCTGTTTATTTATTTCTCAAAGTCACCTTATGATAATGACCATGCAAGTCTTCGTCAATCATCACATCTGCCGCACACTATTGAATGAGCACCATCTTTTTTTTTCTCTCTGTTCAAATTCTTATGTAATATTAGAAAAAGAAAACGAGAACGAAGAAAAAAGATCAAAAGAGAACTTCATTCATTTGCATGTCATTTTCACATTGGATTATGATTGTAGAAAATAACCTTGACACAATGTATCGAGATTTAAAAAAAAATACATTTATATGTATGTATATACATAAGTATTACACGCCTACATTCTATTTGACAAGTGTACCAACATACACTGTAAAGTGTTATATTACACGAGCACCGGTCGCATCCATCGACATATGTATACATACATATATGTCGATTGTCAATATACGCATGACGCTAATCCATGAAATAGACATATGTAAACTGTTTGATCATATCCACCGTTTCGAGTGTCTCAATAAGAATAAGATTTGAAAAAAATTTATTATTTTGTAAATGTGAATGTCACTAAAATCTAAGCCTTAATAAGATTTCTTTTTCAATAGAATGTATTATACCGTTAAGACCAAATAGTTTAAGTATAAAAAAAAAATATGTGTATGAAACTTAAAATATTTATAACTAGTCATAAAATTTATTCATACTTATGAAGAATGTTTTTATAATAATGAAAATTCAATAAAAATACATCAGGTATTTTTTAATAGTTGATGAATTATTATTTCTATATGAGGACTTGTCAATATTCAAAAAAAACTATTCGTTGATTCATCAATACAACATAAAACATAACGAGAATTTCTTATTTCATTGTAAGTTCACTTTCGTTCATTAAGATGATCATGTATCATTTAAAAAAAAAACCGAAAATAACTACAACTGATAAATCGATTGCTAGTATATCATAAGTCAATGGAGAAGAGAAAATAAATCTAAGTGTTTCATTGGCATTATTCCATTTTATTGATGTTATATTATTTCTTTCATCATAATAACATGTATCATTCTTTTGGGATGTGAACAGTTGTTCGTATGGATAGCTATGTGTTATGCAAATTTTTATAAGAATTTTGAATAAAATATCGAAATGCAATTATACAATGAATTAATTTCTTGTGAGAGAACAGCCAACATCATAAACTGATTGAGTGAGTTGACTAATATCTGCCAAATTGATGGTTCAAATATAATGACAAGTTGTATTCAATGACACACGTATATTATATAAGCCGCACAGAATAACAGAATGACCTCAAAAAAAGTAATTGTGTCAGTTGCGATGTCAAAACCCTCTAAAAATGCACCTTGATCAATATGCAACAGCTATTCATATATAGTTGACCAAAAAAGTAACACAGAAATTCTTTCGAAATGTAAATATTCTAGAAAATGTGCATGCCATGGATGATTGAAGTTTGGTTTAGGGTAAAGAGAATATCTGTAACCTTTGCAAGCAAGTGCCAATACGAACAAATATTCTAGACCCATTCTTACCTATTCAAAACGAAAATTTTCAAAAATCAATCTTTGTATAAATATAATTTGTTATAATTTACTTTATTGAATTTTTCATAATCTATGAAACATTTTTCATCAAAACAAGTATATCTGTGGTAATAATTATTAACCTATTGACAATAACATCGATCAAATGTATGATTACATACAAATCGTCATGTTTTTTCAATTAACTCTATATGTTCATCCTTTTGATTTCTTATAGAAGTAAATGTAACAATTGATCCGAGTATAATACCTATTATTAACAACATAATACCAAATAATTTCCATCATATCGTCGTGATAATAATAACATAAGATACCACTATTCTATTGACAGAAGTATAAATAGCAAATGGCAGTTTATATATCGATTTTATGCTGTTTAATGGTAATATAATCTTATCACGCATTGCAATACGTACTGTATTTGTTTAGAGTTATGCTTGGATAGAAAGAATTCATAAGTTCATACACCTGATTTAGACTGATGTAATAACAATACTCTCCTGTGGAAATAATTTTTTCCCGTTCTCTTGCCCGTGGAGACCAGGAACGGAAATGGTATTTAAAAAATGGGCATTTCTTAAAATTGCTTTGTTTTATGTATATACTCTTCAAACTTTGCTCTTTCAAACGAAAAAATATTGTCATCAATCCTGTCTTACATTGTTAATACATAGACTTTGACATTCTTCCAAAACCTTCTACGTCGCTTAATAATCAAAAGATAAATAACAAAAATTAGACAAGTCTATTCATTATTCATTAGATTTTAATTTATTTATCACCATCGAAAGAACAATCATTCAGTTTATCTCGCTATATACCGTTATTATTATCTTTTCATTTTGCATGTTTTGTTTTCTCATCGCTGTTGTTGATGTTCTACATATTATTTTTGTTTTCTTTTTTTAAACTATTCCAGTGATGCAGAAAATAATTCGCTTAAGTTAACATTAATAAATCTCGACGTATAAATAATAATTGATTTTTTTACTAAAATGTATCTCTAATGATAATTTTATTTTTAATTTAAAACTATCTCCAATTGCATAAAATCCGACGTTGATAGAATTTAGGGTCTAGTGACGAGAGTTTTTCTCAAATTCAAAAAATAAAATCGCAACAGGAACTATGAAAACATTACGGCAACCGGAACGACGGAACGAGAACAAGAAGCTTTACGGGAAGCAAGAATGTGGTAACAGGAATCGAGAAAAGTCGTTCCCGCAGGAGACTAAATAACAGTTAAGAATAATAAATAACAAAATTTTGTGATTTAAAAAACTTCAAAGTATTTTTTTTGTTTTGACGACTAGGAAATTTTAATTTGATACAATTCATAATAATGAAAAAATCTTTTTTAATGTTCAATTTAAAACACAAATATTATTATTCGATGCATACATAGGATTAACCAAAAGTTCTGTTAAAATTAAATAAAAATGTAAAAATAAGAAAATATTTTAATTTTATATAAGTTTCTACTCCATTTTTATTTTCTTTATATCTCTGTAATGCTCAACAGCAGAGCGACATTGAAGATACATATTTGAAGAATAGTATCTAAGCTATCATTCAACAAAAATACAAATTGATTTACTTTAACGGTAAGAAAATGCTACATTAGTAAAAATATTTTAAAAAATTTATGAAATTATTTTTTTTACTATTGTCGCTCCCTATTATTTTTTAATAGTGTCTATGAGAAAGAAAATTTGATTTCACGGCCATATAAAAGACAAGAGCACCGTAATACTATGCTCAAACTAGAGGAATATGAAAGTACAGTGACTATATGTGAATTAAGATATGTCACGGACAGTTATTTGTATTGAAAAATGACACCAAACGAGTTAGTGACTCTAGTTGATTTATTCGGTGTCACTGCATTTTGAACAGTATTTATCACATTTATTTGACATAAATTTTTCAAAGTTTTTGTCCCATAGAGAGTGTAGAAGAATAAAAGACTAACAAAAGTAACTCTTGATGAGGGGATTGATATTTTTCTTCCTTTAATCTCAATATGGGAATAGTAAAAAAATAATTTGATAAATTAGTTCAATATTTTTACCAAAGTAGCATTTTCTTACGGTTAATGTAAGTCGACTGGTACTTTTGTTGAATGATAGCTTAGATGTTACTCTTCATATATGTATATTCAATGTTGCTCTACCTTTGAACACTGCAGAGATATGAAGAAAATAAAAATGGGAACTAAACTCATGTAACATCCTTTAGTTTTAATTTTGTTTAAAACATTACTTGATTGATAGTGAGCACATTTTGCGAAAGGATCTCAGTGAAAAAAGCCTTTGTTTTATTTAAATGAAAAAAATGAGGGTCTCAAAATTTTGAATATTAAGAAACAAAATTTTTATTGTATTGAATTCATTGCCCTCCTGAACAAAGATGCAACAGTACTGTTTTATTGTAAACATTTACAATGACAAATCATTTGAAAAACTCCCATCTGACAAACAACATTAGCATTGCTTTGAAAGTTTTAGAGCTTTTCAATAGATCATAATTCAAATAATACAAAATGTAAGAATAAGCCTTTGAATCAAATTTATCGAATGGTGTCTGTATAACTGTCAAGTTTTTGAGTGATTTTTCATCTATAGAGTGACGATCAAATCAACAACTGCAGATAGATATTACTTGAAAGATATGAATTCGGATATCATACATCTTATGATAAACTCAGTATTTTTCGTTTTATATTTGGTATATAAAATGAAAGTAAATTTCTGACTCTCTTGATGTGAATCAATTGATTTTTTGACAGTCAAAGAGTGTTTTTTTCATATTGATTTTAAAATAATAGTTTGAATATTGATTTCAAAGTTCATGAAAAATAATGATACATGTAATGTAATTATGATGTTTTATTTTTATTATTCTTGTCGTTTTTTCGTTAATTACCAAAAAGACATTGTTTATTTACGTTCTTCTGCTTCAAGTGTAGATTGTAAAACGTTTATTGTTCTTTCCAGACGCCAAGCCCAATAATTTTTAGGATGTTCTCCTTGTGAAGCGTTGCATACTGCTTCTGATGATTCATTTTGTAAAGTCTTTAATGCAGAGTTAAGCTGATCCATTAATAATTTAAGGTTACATAATGAAAATATTGTTTCAGTTGATGTTGAAATATGACAAGCACGTAATGACTTAATACTGTCTTCAAAACCATCAAGATTTGCAGTTTTTGTTGTAATGAATTCTGTTCGACGAAATCGATCCGAGATATTTTGATCATTTCTATTGTCCCAAATTGCAATTGATTCATTTGGATTGGTGCTGTTGACGATCGCTGTTTTAAATCGAATTTCTAATAAACTATCGATCAAATCCATAACCCCTTTTAATGGTACAGATGCTCGACCATCCTTTAAATAGACCGTGTCGATCATACTCATTTGTCTGTTGCAATCTTTCGATATAGTGCTAGACGATGAAGCCATCATTATATTAATACAATTCATTTTGATTTAAAGCGTATGTTCTCTGATGATATAGTGTTGTTTATTCAATATGTATCTTATCAGTTAGTAGTATGCCTATTGGTATGTTTGATTCGAAACGTCAAACAATTATATTACTCAAACACTCAATGAGTAAAAATTACGTTACATTTTTTTTTCGTCATTGTCGTTAAAATCAACATTTCATTACGGGTATAGGCTGGGTGTGAGTGAAAAGGATATCATGCACTCTCTTCAGAAAAAGATGCGATTTTCTAGGACGAAAATTGATATCAACATGATCAATAAAAATTTCCCATTATGTCTTTTTCATAATACAACTTGGAATCATGATTGATTCAAAAATCAAGTTTCAAAAGCTCAGAGAAATATTATTCATGAATCAACATTAAATAATGAAAATAAAAACCAACGGTTGCATTATTTATCGATGTGCTCAAATGATTCGCGAATATGAAGGATGCTCCATAAATTTCAGCCCCTTTTTTTTATTTTCTTCATATCTTTGCAATGTTCAATGGCCGAGTGACATTGAAGATACATATATGAAGAGTAACATCTAAACTATCATTCAACAAAAATACCAGTCGATTTACATTAACCATAACAAAACGCTACGTTGGTAAAAATATTGGAAAAAATTATCAAATTATTTTTTTAATATTTCCACAATTTGAGATTAAAAGATAAAAATAGCAGTCACTTATCGGGAATTACTTTTGTTGGTCTATTATTCTTCTACACTCTATATGGGAGAGAAATTTTGAAAATTTATGTCAAATAAATGTGATAAATACTGTTCAAGATACAGTGGCACCGAGTGAAAATCAACTAGAGTCACTAACTCGTTTGATGTTATTTTTCTATACAAATAACTGTCCGTAACGCACCTTAATTCACACATAGTCACTTTGTTTTAATGCTACTCTAATTCAAGTATAATATTACGGTGCTCTTGCTGTTTATATGATCGCGAAAATAAATTTTATTTCTCACAGATAGAATAAAAGAATAATAGAGAGCAACAAAAGAAAAAAAAATAATTTGATAAATTTTTTAAAATATTTTTACTAATGTAGCATTTTCTTACGGTTAATGTAAAGCGATTTGTATTTTTGTTGAATAATAGCTTAGATGCTACTCTACATATGTGTATCTTTAATACCCATCAACCTTTGGACATTGCAGATATCTAAAGAAAATACAAACGTACCAGAAACTTATGGATTATCCTTTATTTCCGAAATAGTTCGAATTATAATATAATATCGACCGAATTCATTATACATATTTCAAAAATTCTTTTTTTCTTGTTGGAATTGGAGTTTTTCTCAAAGAATATTAGATCTAAATCCAAAATATATTTCTTATATACATTATTATAGACAATAAATTCTACTATTTATTCATACAACAGATTCTTTAATGTTAACTAGTATATAACATTGTTAGTAATGTTGCGACAACTTTTGGTTAGATCTAAGTAACTAAGTACAGATAGCTTGTGTATTTTGTCCTTAACAAGAAAAATACAAAGTGCATACTATGCACTGCATTGTAATGTCTAATTATTGACAGACGCATTTAAGTTCAAAGATTTAGCTGTCTTGTGTAATAAAATATCCGATAAAAAGTGTACCTGAGTACGGGTATTGAAGAGTCTAGCAAAGAATTTAACTCCATATATTTAAAAAAGTTACTTGATTAATTTCTTTTTACATATGATTATAAAAGAATTAATGAAAAAATGTGTATGTTAAAGACACTTGAAGAAAGTTGATTTCATCATTATAAATCAAAGGTAGCACAGTCAAATGACTGGTGATTTCACTAAAAAATCCTTTTTTAAAACAAAATTTATTTTATTAAATATCAAATAATCGTTTTTTTGAAATTTCTTGTTTTTCTATGTAAGGTGACAAAGATGAACTCGATGATCGTGAATCAGCTGAACGTTTGCATATCTTTTAGACAATAAGAACATGCTCTTGTCATTTGTTACAAGTGCTATTATATTCTGATCGTGATTGATTTTATCACAGCAACAGTGGGGGAACAAGGATTTTGAGTCAGGACATCTCGGTCCTCTGGCTACGCCAATACAAAACAATTGGAGATCATCGAAGCATCCGATTATCAAAAAATTCTTCTTAAAAATCAATAAAACAATAAATATTCAATCTAGTATTAATGCTACAACTCACGGAACAAATGATTTCTTTTTAGCCATGTATAACATACTGTTCCAGACACTACTGCCATCTATATTCGCATAAAAAATGACACATATTTCATTGAATTTATTTTTTCAATGAAACCTAATCGGTATCTATCAAAAATAAATTTCTATTGATGATTCATTTATGTTAAAAATTCGTATTTTTTAAAATTTAATCTGATTCGTAGATCACTTGGAAAATAAAAACTATAGACTAAACCTATCCGAATCCATATATTAATTATTAGAAATTTTCTTTCATCGAATAATAAGTAGACATGATAAGAAAAAACAAAAAACAAATCAATTTTTTGTTTTCTAGATCAAATGGATTCATCCACATCAAAAAAGCTTCCTCATCATCGTTTAAGTTCTTATAAATATCATGGAAAAGATTCTGATGAACTTCGACGTCGACGAAATCAATATAATGTTTCACTCCGAAAAGTATTAATTTTTTTGAATTCGAAATTAACTGAACAATAAATTCTTTTTTTTTTTCTCTTTAAAATTTTTATTAAGAACAAACGTGATGAACAAATACAAGTCAAACGTAATTTTATTGCTGATGATAGCATGTCGGATAGATCTGAAGATGATAGAGAACAAAGTCAATTTTATAATCTTGATGATCTTGCTATAAAAGCTAAAAGTGAAGATCCAACAATACGTTTTGAAGCTGTACGTTCAGCACGAAAACTTTTATCTATTGATCGTAATCCACCAATTGATGAATTAATTAAATTTAAATTTTTACCTATATTTGTTCATTATTTAACATATGATCAATATCCAGATTTACAATTTGAAGCTGCATGGGCATTAACAAATATAGCATCAGGTAATTCACATCAAACACAAGCTGTTGCTGATGCAAATGCTTTGCCATATTTATTGCGTCTTTTAAATTCACCACATTCAAATGTATGTGAACAAGCTGTTTGGGCTTTGGGAAATCTCATTGGTAAATAGCACGAAACTAGAAAAAAGATTATTATTGTTTGTTATGTTTTATTTTTCTCGTATTAATTAAATAGGTGATGGTCCAACATTACGTGATCATGCTATTGAATTAGGTGTTATAAAACCATTAGTTGAATTTATTCAAAAAGATATTCCTGTTTCATTTCTTCGAAATGTAACATGGGTTATTGTTAATCTTTGTCGTCATAAAGATCCATCATTATCTTTAGCGGCTGTACAAGAAATTTTACCAGCTTTAAATTATTTAATTGCATATACAGATATTACAGTATGTATGATGATGTATTTTGTGTTTTGAGAGGAAACAAAATATGTTTTGTTGTTGATAGATTCTTGTGGATTGTACATGGGCGTTGGCTTATTTACTTGATTGTGGAAATAGTATGATACAAGTAAAGAATTAAAACACAGATAAAAAAAAGAAATATTATTATGATGAAATTTTTTTAGGTTATTATTGATTCAGGTGTGATACCACAAATTATTAAATTATTAAATCATAATGAAATAAAAATTGTTACAGCTGGTACAGTTTTGTTATTTTGTTTGTTTGGTTGATTTTTCTGAATTTTTATTTATCATTTTAGCATTGAGAGCAATTGGAAATGTTGTTACAGGTACTGATGAACAAACACAACTTGTTCTGAATCATGGAGCTCTTGCTTATTTTCCCAAACTACTCAAACATCAAAAAGATAAACTTAATAAAGTAAGATTTATAATAATTGTTTTTCATTTTAAATAATAAAATGAAAAAAGAATTTGTAAGCTAATGTAAATCTGATGATCGTGGGTGTAAATGGTGATAATTTTATCATCTCTTGAAATTCTGATGTTATCTGTTACATTTCTGATTTTCTAGGCATGTAATAATAACCTTATCAATATAACAAAAGACGAAAAAAATAAAAATTTGAATAATAAACCTATTATTGTAGCTTTGTATAAGCTTACATTTTCTAAGTTGATCGATAGCTATATACAAAAACGATAATAGATCAAGGTTTTTCTTAATGACACATGTTGCTTTCTTCATTATATATATTTATGTATATGTATATATACGGAGAACTGGAATAGAAGTATTATTGTCTATAGTACTGATGATGGATACTAACCGATTGCATATCTCTATTTGCAATTATCTCGCACACGGAATACAAAGTTATAGAGAAGAGAAAAGTGCAACAGAGCGACAATGGGAAGGAAAGAAGAAATAAAACTATAATAAAAGAGTTATGTCAGTATCGATATTTTATATATCTGTACTTCATCATCAAAACGAACGATTGGGGGGGGGGGGGGGGGGGGGAAGGGGGGTGAGGAAGTTGTTACCGGGCGAGCTCTGTCATCACAACATTCTCGTTTTTTTAAGACACAACCAAGGGTTCCGCCGAGCAGACCACGTTCCAGATAATC